GCCATGCAGGAAAAACCAAGAGAGGGGCGGGGGGCGGGGAGGGGAAGTAAGGGTGGGAGAGGCTGAAACCCAAACCATTCCTGAGGAGGTTCTCTATGGTGGAGCCCCTGCCCTTAGGAGAAAGTAATTGGCTAGTACTCTGCTGCTCCCTTGATGCGGGCCCCAGGAGAGCCTCTCTCCAGCCACCACACTTGGCCTCCAACTGTCCTCAGTTACACACACTGGGGCCCCATCAGCTGCCACACCACTGGCTCCACTCCTGAGGCTGAATTCTGGGTCTCGCACTGCGGTCCTCAGACCTATTGCATCAAGTTAAAATAGCGGTACAAGTTCCAGCAAGAGCAGATCTTGTTCTGGGGTTGAATATGCTAAGCCTGGAAGCCATTCCGCCTTTCTGACCCAAACCAAAACATCACATTCCAGTCTGAAGGACCCACAGGAGGGTTATGGCCAGTGAGCCATTATCCCTCTTTAGAACAGATATTTAACTCTGTGGAACTCAGTGGTATTTGTGACAAAAATGGGAGAAAGAGATACAGTCCTAAGGCCAAATTGGTGGATTGCTTAAACCAAGAAAGAGAACTTTTCACAGTGGAAGGCCTGGGGGATGGTCAGAACTCAGACAAGACCTCACGCGGCTGTCCCTCATGGAGACCTCTCGCTATGGACTTTGCTAGGCCTCTTGCTTAAAGCCAAAGCAGCTCTTCTGGTGATTCTGTAAAGCCACTAGTGACCAATTCAGTGGTGAAAGTACCACGCAAGTTATGGGACCAAGGGGCAGTTTTGTGACACTGCAACAGTAGGGTTATGTTTTTAGGACCCCCTGTCCATACAGTCAGTATTTCTTTTAAGTACATGATGGGAGAGAGATGGACACGGTTCCCTGTGACATGATTTATTACCCTCCCTCTCAATGATAACTTTTGAGGATGTTTTGTCTAATTATACACATTGGGGATCAGGACTCCTAGGCTCAGCGGTGACTCTCGCTTTGACTCTGCCTGGAGTAGTCACCTTTCAGAGGCCCTGCCTATCCCACTTCACAGGTGATGCAGGGCCATTCTGGAAGCTTAGTAAAACACACACGAACCAAAACCAAATAGATCCTTGGGTTAAAGGTGCTATATAATTGTGAAGTATTAAGCATACTAGATTTCGGTCGTGGTAAGAACACAGGGCCTGCATTCCCAGGAAAGTTAGAAAATTCTCATGAGATAATTAAAAATATAGGTGATGGGCAGATAATTTCTTTAAGGAAAAAAAAAAAAGCAAAAACTCTTGTGGTACCCAATCAGATAGTAACTGGCTGTCTGTTGCCATAGGAGCATTTCTATATAGGACTTAGTTGCAGTATGTTATTCCTGGTTAAGCAGGCATTGCTCTGGCCTGGAGGAGCTGTTTCAAGCCATCTCAGATTCTGTCTAAAGGGGTTGTTATAGGAAGACGTTTCCTCTATTGCCTGAGAAGATCTAGCCCAGGGAGAATCTGAGACATCTTGCCTACTTTCCTTCTCCCAGCTCTCTCCTTATCCCGTTTCTCACATGATTTTCCTCTTTGGGGAGTTGTTATGCCATGACTAGTGGTATTTATGTAAAAGGACCATGACTAAGTATATTTCTCTGTGTTCATTCTGGTTAAGGGAGTATTGAGGGCAGGCCACCAGATTATCGTGGCTGGGGGTAGAGAGACGGCAAGCCAAAACTGCGGGACGATGACCTTTTTAATTGTGACTTAATCATCACAAGATTATAGAAGGCTGTCTTATGTGCAGAAACACACTTACGTATCAGATATACCCAAAAGGGATACTTGCATTAGGTTGGAAAGTCGAACTATGACTGGAGTGAACCATGTATTGCCTTGTCTTTTACTTTATTTCTGTGACATTTACGTCTCATGTAATTTGCATTACTTTGGTGGGTTGTTCTAGTACTGTATTTGGCTTCTTCTTCAATAGATTGATATTTCATATACTATAATTGTAAATATTTTGATACAAATGTTTATAACTCTAGGGATATAAAAATAGATTCTGATTCCCTTCACCGTGTGAATGTTTTCTTCCTAAAAAATGCAAGAGATGAGGAATAATCGTGACATTTATACCTAATTAAGTTGTCAGTCAGTGTGGTTTGGACAACTTGGCATTTATTGGAGACATTAAGTTACCTTCTGGTAATACAGTAGGCATTTCTACAGTAACTCAGCAAGTGAACCTTACTAGGTAGTTTTATCTTGCTTTAATTAAACCTCTTAAAGCAAAAACCAGAATTTTGTAAGCTAATACATGAGAGAGATGTTATGATCTTGAGTCAGAATGACTTATGACATTAAGAAGTGAGATACTCATAAAGTTTCTTTGAAACACAATTCGTCTAATGTGTCTTCAAAATATAAAGCAATTCACAAAGATAAGCATCACATACATACCTTTGCAGAAACCCATTCATTGCATAAACTGGGGCATATCTGTAGGAGCCAGATGAGAAAAGGAAAGCTTTACTGCTCTCTGTGAATAATAAAGACTGGAATTAACAGTGGAAAAGCAGAGTAGATACTGTGTACCCTAGCATCATGTCAATACCCATATCATACAAATGGTTTTAATGTGGAGTAGGCACTCTGCCAGTCCCCTGCGGTTTTGGATGAGGTAACAACACAAGGAATACCCAGAAAGCGTACACAATGGAACCTGAAAATGCAACTTCAACATATCTTCAAGTCAATTAATCAAAGCGCATTGATTATTAATACTCTCTCAGAAACCTATGTAATTTCTTAGATTATTTCTGGGATACTATTATAAGAGGCTATTTCTCTCCCTTAGCTCCCCCTAGCATTCTTTCCCTCATGTCATTTGCCTCGCCGTGGATCAGACCTCCAGAGCATCCTTTTTTTCCCCTTCCTTCTCTAGATCTTTAATCAGAATCTCCAATAAGCTTTCAGAACTTTTCTGCCAAGATGAAATCTTCCACCTCAAAGACCTGGGTGATGAATGGGAGTGTATTATTCAGGATTCTCCAGAAAAAACAACCAATAGGATGTGTGTGTGTGTGTGTGTGTGTGTGTGTGTGTAAATTTATTTTAAAAAATTGGTTCACATGATTATGGAGGCAGGCAAGTTCAAAGTCTGCAGTGAGAATAGGGTTGGCAGAGGCTGAAGACCCAGGGAAGAGCCAATGCTGTAGTTCAAATCCAAAGACTGCCTGCCGGAAGAATTCTCCTTTGTTTGGGGGGTGGAGGTGGTCAGTCTTTTGTTCTATTCAGCTGATTGAATGAGGCCCACCCGCATTATAGAGGGCAATCTGCTTTACTCAGAGTCCACTAATTTCAATGTTAATCTCATCCAAAACACCCTCACAGAAACATCCAGAATAATGTTTGGCCACATGTCTGGGCACCATGGCTCAGCCAATGTGACACAAAATAAAGCATCATGGGGAAACATTCTTATTAAGGATAAGGCACAAACGTTCTCAGAAATAATTTAAAAGAAGCTTGAGCAGTGGAAATCTTTATGTTTACAGTTGA